TGTTTCTGCCCTCTTCAGATTGAAACTGCATTTGCAGTCCCATAACCAAGCGAGTCGGACAAGTTCACCACCCCGAACCATCCGATAGAAACGGCAAGAGAGAAGGGTGAAACGGCGCCACCTTGTGCAGAAAAACAGGAACGGCAGTAATGAATAAAAAAGAAAAGAAAAAACGCCACACTTCCATCAAGGCGTGCTGTAGATTCAGGGCTTACTTCCTATAACATCCTTCATTTAAAAAAGCTGCTTTTGTTCTAGTTTGACCTGATAAAGCTAAACACTATCGTGTAAAGATACAGATCTGCATCAGATGCATCGAGATCTAACAGAAACGGAATTCTCTGAATTAAGTGTTCACCAAATCAAGCCAAAATTGATGTTTGGTTCTCCTAATAGAAGTGATGAGGGAACATTTGAAGATGCGGCGTTGATTGAGAATTATCTTTTTCTTTTATTTGTATGAAGTCTATAATTGCTTACAAGCAACTAGTCTGCACAAGCAATGAAGAATTGAACTTCTTCGCTTTCCGGTTCGATAATTTCTCCTCAGTAATATACGCTTTGTGTATGTAACTCAGACGCAACATTTCAGCGCATTTGCTGCACTAAAAGTTTCTCAATTTAAAGTTAAGGATTCAGTCAAAATTAAAAAGTTGCTGCTTATTTGTTCTCCTTCAGGTTATTTAAGATATTTGACACTTTTTTTTCTTTTGATTTTTATTTGAGTATAACATTAAAGAATATTTTAGCTATGGATGCACCAATACCATTTTTATGCAGCCGATCCAATCTCGGTACCAAAAATCTGAGTATCGACTGATACAGATCCGATCCCAATACTCTGCTTTTTATTTTAATTCTTTTTTTTTTTTTTAGCATATTACAGTTTCTTTAATTCTGGTGCTAAACTCAAATAATATATGTTCTTTTAAAATAATAGATCTATAAGTCTACTCTATATGACAGATGACCCAATTGAACTAAAAACATGTATCAAACTGATATCTGATCCAAGTATCGGGATCGGTGCATCCCTAATTTTAGCTGACACCTAAAACTGAGGCCTTTTGATGATTCATAAATTTCTAGTCAACATCTTCCAGCACTTTTAAAGTAAAAACAAACGTACAGGCAAAACAAAATGAATACCCGTGGCTTCTGATGATAATTTGAAGCAAAACTGAACATTATTTACTCTTATTGTTTAACATCTTTGTTAACCTGAAAGTGAGTAAATGAACGGCAGATTTTATTTTTGCGAGAATTGTAACAGTATCCAATCTTAAGTTGAATTCAATACGCTTGATTTTTGTTTTGTTGTTTAAAACCAAGCCAATAACAGGTTTTCGATCATTACATTCCACTAAATGTGTTCGTTAATGATTATTTAACAATTTAAGGTGTTCTCCCGGCGACGCAGAACAGCTTTTATTTATTCTTCGTCCCTTTATTTTTTGATTTCTCTTTTTTTTGTATTGTATAAAAGAGTTTATTTTCATTAAAAGGCTGACGGGGTTGTTGAGCTCTTCTGTTTGTTGGCAGTAATTTATTTAAGCCTTTTCACTGCATGCTTCTGTCAGCGGCAAACCATGTTTCTGCGATATATTGCATCTACGATGGTTGACTAGACTACAATATATCAAATAAATTTCTTGAAACTATTGGAAATGCGCTTGAGTTTTGTGTTTTCTTCAAACTTCACTCATCCAACTCTATTTTTTTGTTCCAGGTCTGAGTTTATTTTATAGTCCTTTATAGAGAAGATTGTTTTAAAGCAGCTTTACAGTATTAAATAAGAAATTCCATTATATTGTTATAATAATATGTTATAGATTTAGTTTTGAGAATCACCACTAGAGGGAGTCATATTATAGACTTATATTTTGAGTTTTATATGAAAACGGGAAAACGCTGAATTGCATTTCTGTAAAGCCTGCTCATTTGCATTAAGTGATTTACTATTGATTTGTGTTTATGATCTTCAGATGTCTCTTATGCCATTAAAAAAATTAGATTGTTAGATTTTTGTTAGTTATTTATTTCTGCTTTATTTGCTATTATTTTTATTTACCTTGTTTGTCTATTATAGTATTTCTGTTTTGTTTTGGAAGTTTTTTGTGTGTGTTTTAATGTATATTTTAGTCCTGATTTAGTCTTAGTTTAAATTTCTTTTTATTATTAAAAAAAATGGTTATAAAATATATTATATTTAATATTTAGATTTTTTTCTTCTCTTTTTTTTTTTAGAAGTTGTTTTTGGTTTTCTGTTGTGATTTCAGGTGTTTTTTATGTGTTTATTTTATTTTTAATTGTTTCAGCTTTTTTAATTGGTGTTTTTGTTGTTGTTTTGCTTTTGTTTTCAAAACATAACTTTTTTTTGTGACTGCACCAGCCGTTATTATAGTATGCAGCAAAATATTGATTATTAGGCCAGAATTAAAGTATCCTTTCTAACCCTATTGACCCAGACAATACCTTCAAATTTTCCTTCGATCTTAGTACTTAATGTCTACAGAAGAGTCTAGCTTTAAAAAAATAATATTAACAAAAATATATTTTTTTTTTTTTAGATGCTAATGGTCTGATCCGATTCTATTATTTATGCCAAGTTAAAAATGCTCCCGCCTGACTAAATGGTAAAACACAATGGCTTAACACTTGTAAAATAAGAATACAGTTTTGAACAGTACAAAACAGACCACTATTCTATATATATATATATATATATGTGTGTGTGTGTGTGTGTGTGTGTGTGTGTGTGTGTGTGTGTGTGTGTGTGTGTGTGTGTGTGTGTGTGTATGCATGTGTACGTATATCTATATATATAAATATTATTATTATTATTAGAATAGTTTCTAAGTTTCTAGCCATATGGACCTATAAAATAACTTTTAATTTTCCGTCTGTCTTAAATATTACTTGAGTCCAGCTTTAAATAAGAATATTATCAACAATCTTGTTGTTTTTTTTGACGTTTCATTGAGATGCTAATGGTCTAATCCAATTCAGTGATTTATGCTAAGCTAAAAGTGCTCCCACCACACCAAATGGTAAAACACATTGGCTTAACACTAGAATGTTTTTATATGTATGTCTATATATATATATGTTTGTCTGTCTTAGATATAATTTGAATCTAGCTTTGAATAAGAATATTATATATATATATATATATATATATATATATATATATATATATATATATATATATATATATATATATATATATATATATATATATTGACCTTTGAGCCAGATGCTAATGGTCTAATCCAATTTCATGATTTATGCCAAGCTAAGCTAACAGTGCTCCTGCCAGACCCAGAAATTCTCTGTATTGATTAAAAAATAGAAAAACACAACTGCATAACATTAGAAGACCTGTAGATTGAGCCTATTTACAAAAATTGAGTGTTCCTTTAATCTATACCATATATTTTGTGATCTCTTAACTAAAATAAATCCTCTAGGGACAAAAAAAGTTATCTTGAATCAGTGACTGTTTTCTCACAGTCCTCAAATCTGTCATGCGCCATCAGTCCACGTGTTGTATAAGCGATCAGAGCCTCTGGATTGTGTTTATCTCAGTCTAGCGCTGTAGTAATGCAATAGAGCTGCTGTTTGCAGGGCGTCCTGTGGGATCTGCTCTAATGAAGCAAAAGCTCTCAGCTCCTGTGCAGGTCAGCTAATGTCTGCTCTTATACAGTGTATAATGGCCATACAGAGACTCTTATCTCTGGCTCTTCTGTCTCTCTATCTCTCTCTCTCTTCATCCTACCATCTTCTGCCGAATCCCACAATGAATCGGATCTCCTGCAAGTCAATAACACATGTCCTTTGCAAGACAAAAACAAGAAGCCGTATGGCTGATGTTCTTGGCCAAATGCGGATATGATTAATAGGATTTAGTGGGTTTGCTTTAATAATAATCAGCATCACAAGAGGCTTTCAGACTTATTTTAGTTGTTGCTATTGTTTTCCGTGACATCCTTTGTCCTTTTTATTATCTAGTATTTTTATTATGATTTTCTTGTTTACTTTTTTTATGGCTTTTAAGTTGAATCCGGCTTTTCATGTTTGGTTCACTTTTGATTATTTGTTTTGATCTTTATTTGCACTTTAGGTTTTGTAGTTGTTTGTTTTATTTCTTGGCCTCTCTTTTATTACCTTTTATCCATGTTATTGTTTTCAAAATCATTTTTAAATTTTCAATTTACAGTGTAAGAAATAGGTTCCCACAATTCATTCATGTTGTCCCAACACAAATTGATTAAGTTAACTCTATATTTAAGTCTATTGAACATAAATCAATTAAGATGTGCCCCAAAAAATCTCAAGAAATGTTATTTTAGCTTATTTTAAATTCTAAGTAGTTTGAACAAGTCATCTTTTTTTCATCTTTTGAAATCATCTTTTTTTTATTCTTTTAAAAAAAATTTAAATCTGTTTTAAATTTATTTATTTGGTTTTAGTGATTTTGTTATTGTCCCCCCCCCCCCCCCCCCCCCTTGATCTATCTGCAACCCACCAATTTAAGTTAACTCCTCACATTCTAGAACACCTCGATCTAATTAATAACCATTTCTCAGCAGTTCCTGATGAACTTTTAATCAACCAGCGTACATCTCACGCATCAGCCTTCCAGATATTTTCATCCCTTATCAATGGCATCGATTCCCAGCAGGCATCTCTCTCGGCCTGCACTTGTGTGGAGGTGGCAACTTGAGCCGCATTGATCTGGGCTATCAATCACGAGGATGGCAGACCCTTTTAGAAGAGACTACGCCTCTCTCGCCCTCTCTCTCTTCCTCTCTCTCCTCTTCAGTGACTTTAATGGCTCCACCGAAGGACACAGAGTAGAGCAGAGCACAACTGTGGACGTCCTGTGGCTGATGAAATTCCTCCGGTAAATTTTGGCGAGCTGGACAGGAGAGCCTGAAGTGGCGAAGTCGGTTTAGCTTCCCAGGAAGGGTCTTGTGGCACCCCGCCCTGCCCCGCAGATGGTGCTCAGCCTGGCCATGGACTCCAGAGAGGAATGGGATGGCTGGATGGAGGAGCAGTGGGAGAAATGGTACAGTAGACATGCGGCCTTAAGGCGAGACACTGCAAGCAAAGCAGTTTTATGTTCCTGTTTTCAGATTTTTAGTCTATTTCAGTTCTTTTTTTTTTTCGGTTTAATGGAAAAAAAACTTCAATGTGCTCTTTAATGCTTTCTTTGGCCGTGCTTTATCAAATTGTGTCTGTAGATTTCCATTATGATTAGTGTTTTTGAAGGTTGTTGTCTTCAAATGATATTTTGCTGTGCTTTGAGACATGATATTTCCATTTCAGCATCACTTAAACACACCAGACGACTCAGTTTTATTTATATCTATATTCCGAAGGTTTTTTTTTTTTTTTTTTTTTTAATCGAAGGGCTTGTTCATACATATTTAGATTATTGTTATTGAAGCTGTTGTTTTTCTGGCTGCTTTTCTGAATGATTTTCCTCAGAATAGATCTTTTACTTGTTTATTTGTAAAGTTATACCTGACTTCATCAGGTTTTTGTGCTCAATGTTTGCCAATTAGTGCATACCTAATAAAATAATGCTTCATTTGAATATTTAAACATTTTAGAAAACTTGAAATACAAAATAATTTCAATTACAGAAACACATATTGATCACTATTAGCTCTTTATTTTTATTATTATCCTGCAGTGTTTTTGCCATAACTGACCTTGGATCAGCTTCCAAATGAGCTGAGATGTTGGTGTGGTGGAGAGCTGAGTGATGTGAAGGTTTTTAATCTAAAATTAGACTTGCTTTGAGTTTTGTTGTGGCACAAAAAAAGGTGTTTGTAGCTTTGTTCAATCGCTTGACTGATTTTGTTACATGAGGTATACAGTAAAATGTGGACAACTGGGCTAGTTACCTGAATTTATCAGAATACAGATTTACAAAACATGTTAGGTAGATTGATGTTGATAGACGGTAATACAGTTTTTCAATAAATGCTAGGTAAAATGTCTTTGTGCTTAAGCAAGTCAAAGCAGTGTTTTTAAAATAATACTTTTGTTTTTGGTCCTGCTTTCTTGCAGTAGAATTCTGTTCATTTTTCATATGTATTCTTTGTGTTTTTATTATTATTATTATTATTGTTATATTAGAAATTTAAAAAATGAATTAAAATACTCATTGACAAATAAATGTGCAAATGTAACAGCAAATAATCAGTAAACATTTATTTTAATTCATTATTTAATTATTATTTAATTAAAAAATATTGCTTCCATACATTAATTGTATATTAATGGATCTTATTACACCTTTTTTTCTCCATTTAGTATTACATGTTGTTGTTGCTGTTATAGGGGTTAACAAACTTCACCTTAAATATTTATTATTATTATTGTTGTTGTTGTTGTTAGTATTATTATTATTATGTTAAAAATTTTATAAAATATGAATCCAAGTACTATTTTTTAAAAATTTTCAAATTTGTGTGCCATTTTTGTTTTTGTTTCCATACAATAATTGTATATTAATGGTTCTATTTTATTGCACAATTTATTTATTCGTTTGTATGTGTTGTTGTTATTATAGTTGTTGTGATTAACAAACCTTCTAGAAGTTCACCTTAAATGTTTAAAATTGCATGATGAAATGCTTAAAATAAATCCAAAAACTAATTGACAAATAAATGTGCAAATGTAAGAGGAAATATTCAATAAGCATATTCATATAATTTAATTTATTTCTAATTTTTGTTCATGTTTCCATAGGATAATAGAATATTAATGGTTCTATTTTATTACATTTTCTCTATTTATTTTTGCATGTTGTTATAGGGTTAACAAACCTTCTTCACCGTAAGTATTTATTATTATTATTATTATTATATAAAAAATGATTAAAATGAATTCAAATACTAACTGACAAATAAATGTGCAAATGCAACATCAAATAATCCAGCATATTAGTTTATTCATAATATTTACTCCACTTCATGTAACAATTGTTTCTTTTATTACACTATTTTTAAGTGTTAGTCTGTATTCACATGCGATTATCAGTGATTAACAGACCTACTAGAAGTTTGCTTTAAATTTTTCATTATTATTTTTATAATTATTATTATTATATTAGATATAGTTTGTATAAACTTTTATTTAGAAAAGAAGAAATGTACAATATAAAACAGGAAGTAATCTGTAGGAGACTGGAACACAAGAAAATACAGTTACAAAGAGATAAGAATAAGTAATAGAAAGAAAAAAATAACAAAATAAAGAAAGGGGAAGTACAAAATTAAGGTAAATAAAAAAATACAGAAAGCTTTAAATACTAACACTGGAAGCATGATATTTTCATAAGTTTCTAACTTGCAGAATTTTTTGTTGTTAGATAAACGTAGCTTTAATCAAGGAATGAATTTCAATTAAAAATTGGGCAAATGAGAGAGATGATTATATTTATATGTTTTGTGTAGAATTTTAAAATGGATTTCCTTTGCTTTGTTTGGGATTACATATTCATATGGGGCCATGTTCCTTTCCATTCAATATCTTATATTAATGCTGACCAATATGATTTCCCTCTTGAATTAAGTTTATAAATATGCATTCATACAATTATTTTTAAGTTTTTATACATTATCGTGTTATTATGTTATACATACGGCTAAAAATGGGCTCTAAATGACCGCTTGAAAAAAGTGACGGTAATAATTTACAGGCTAAAAAATGCGTTTTACTCAAACACGTATTTAGGTAAAAGGAGGGTTTTGGGTTTGCACAGTGGTCCTAAAGTTATAATCAGTCAAGTGTGTGTGATTGTCTAGTGATAGTCTCGTGGAAGTATGACCGTGACGTAGTGTGTGTTGGCGCTCTTCAGGTTGACTCATGATATCAGTCTGGATGAATATGAGGATGATGATCTGTCTGAAGTGACTGAAATCACGGATGAAAACGGAATTACACTCGTCCATCTCGACCTCGACACTCAAGTAAGTCAAATACAAAAAAATGACGAATCTGTTATATAAAGACTGTGAGGTAAACTTTATACCACAAAACGATAGGCCTAATATTTATGTATCATTTAATTAAGGTTTTATTTGGATACTTATGCAAAATGTTTGCCTTTTTGTGTTGAGTAAATTTAATTAAATATATTTATAGCCTAACATTATATCTGTTTTCTGTTATCTGTTAATTACTTTTTCTTTATCCTGGAGTTTTCAGTTGCTGTAGTAACGTTAGGCTATTATTGTAGTAGGTAACGTTAGTATTATTACAAATTAGATAAGTTTGATGACAAATATGTCAATATTGACCTGACAAAACTTGCTCTGAGTTTAATAGGCTAACTTTGAAAGGTTTTAATGAAATAAGGTCAGTACATTAAAGTTTTATCTTTTTAGAATTCTCTAGTTAGCACATGGCTAGCGTAGGCCAATTGATTAAGTTGCTGACATGTTTTGTAGCGTTAAAGGTAGTTAACATGTTTAGCCTTTTGCTAACATGAATTCACGTTAAAATGTTTTGACATGTTTTTTGACATGTTTTACGTGATACCAAGGTATTCAGTATTGTTAGCACATTAGCAGCATGATTAAACGTTGCTAGTATGTTTTAATGTGAAAGTATGCGGTTTTGTACAGTGTTTCAACACCTTTCAAACATGCAGACATTTTTAAAATTTTGCTAGCTTGAATTGCTATCATTGTGTTAACTAGCATGTTATAACTTCAAAACTGTGCTAACATAAAATATTGTTGATAATATTAACTTTTTAACATAACAATTGTAAGCATGTTACGACAGAATGTTTTATATTACGTTAACATGTTGATACTTCATTTAGCACAATGTTACTAATAATATTTTATTAACATCTTAACATCTTTTAAAATGTGTTTTAAAATGGCCTCTTAGATGTTTTTCCCTGACATTTATGCTTATTTCAACTACTTATTACATAGTATTGGCCAACATGTATTTAGCATGTTTTGCTTTAGCATGTTTTAATGTATTTCACATGTTGAGATGTCATATCAAGCCACCATAATTATTCCCATTCTGATTCAGTGTTTTGGTCTTTAGTCTGGTTTGTAGTGTCAGGCTTACCATGATTTCGGGAAGTGTGCCAAAGTACCACCTGTACAAGCCTATAAGAGTTAATCAACATCTGCTCTGGTCCTGTAGCTTATCTCCAATAGGCTGATGAACTCATGGCTCACTGCATTATCTGACCGAGCGCTTCAGGAGTCAGAACTTATTTAGATTTATTGCTACTTTTGATTCATACTCTAACAGTTGAAGTCAGAATTTTTAGCCCCCTTTGAATTATTTTATTTTATTTTTTTATATATATTTTCCAAATGATGTTTAACAGAGCAAGGAATTTTTCACAGTATGTATGATAATATTTTTCTTCTGGAGAAAGTCTTATTTGTTTTATTTTGGCTAGAAAATTTCAAAAAAATTTAAAACCATTTAATGGTCAAAATTATTAGCCTCTTTAAGCTTTATTTTTCGATAATCTACAGAACAAACAATCGTTATACAATAACTTGCCTAAATACCCTAATCTGCCTAGCTAACCTTATTAACCTAGTTAAGCTTTTAAATGTCACTTTGAGCTGTATAGAAGTAAAATAAATCAGTTATTTATTAGAAATGAGTTATTAAAACTATTATGTTTAGAAATGTGCTGAAAAAATCTCGGGAATCAGGGAAAAAATAAACAAGGGGGCTAATAATTCAGGAGGGCTAATAATTCTGACTTTATCTGTACATCTTAAATAACAGCTATACTTCAGTAGCATTGGAGGTCATTTCTGGGTCAGGATTTTGAAAAAATATTTAAATTTTTGATTAAAATTTATTTTATTCGGCAGGGATGCATTACATTTATAAAAAGTAATTTGTGTAAAGCGCTATATACTGTAAATGTAAGGAATTATTATTATAGTTATTATTGTGTATTCGCACATTGTGATATCGATGCTGAAACTATATATTGTGCAGCCCTAACATAGTCCATAATAATTTTAATATAGAATGTAAATGAATTTGTTATTTGATTTATTTGGTTATCAAAATGTCAATTTTGCAATAGCTTTTAAGTTACATAAAAGAACAGCTTAAACATTCTGCAAAATATCTTCTTTTGTGTTATATCAAAAACAAAGTCATCCAAGTTTAAAACGACATGACGATGAGTCAGTAACCAAGTCACTTTAGCAATGACATCCCTTTTATGAGATCTCTATCGTTCCCCGTGAATTAAACGTAATTAAAACACAAAGGAATATCAATGAACAATGTGTGTATGGTTAGACTACATTGATCACAGTTATCTTATTTCAGAAACAGCAGTACATCAGTAGTAAATTGTGTATGTGTGGTTTACATCTCTCCACCCAAAAACCAACACAGTCACTTATCTTTCCATGAGGCACAGTCATACGCTCTCGGACTGAATGAGACGAGCTGTTTACCCCACAGCAAAAATAGATTTCTAGGTTAAAGACACATCATTAGCTTCCATGTACTGCGGTCTGAATATGTGTAGAGATTATTTCCGAATTTGTATGAATTTGAATGAGCATGAGGTCACCGGAGGCTTTCCGTGTTCAGTGTCAATTAGCATAGCAGTCAATTAGCATGAGGCGTTAACAACACTGAGGGGGATGTCAAGGCTGGCCACATCTGACTGTTTCTCATGTATGTCATTGTCTAACCAATTAAACTGAAAGAAAAAGCCATTATTTATGGCTGCGCTTTCTTTTTTATGAAGCAATTATCATTATAACGTTTGTGCTATGATTTAACATAATTAAGCATAAAAAGCCAGTAACATCTGACTATTTTTAGAAGGCATCATCTTAAAAAAAGGAATAAAATATGTATGATTTCACAACTATTTATGCAATAATTAGCATAATTACGTTTATGCTAAGATAGTTTAGCTTAATTGAATATAAATTCTCTCAATCAAAACCATTCACATCTAACTGTTTATCGTGCATTTCAGCCACTGAAACATAAATACTTTATTTAAGTAATTCACAATCTTTTCATGCAGTGATTAACATTATTATCATCAACATTTACGCAAAAATTTGGCATTATTAGCCTATACGTAAATGTTCTGTCAAATCTAGTCACATCTGACTGTTTTTAATGTATGTTATCCTCTAAAAAAAGATATCAGATGTTTATGATTTCACAACCTTTTTATGCATTAATTAGCATAATTACGTTAATGCTAAGATAGCTAGGTAGTTTAGCTTAATTGAATATATATTTACAGTAGAAGTCAGAATTATTTGCCCCCTTTCAATTTATTTTCTTTTTTAAATATTTTCCAAATGTTTAACAGAGCAAGGAAATTTTCAAAGTATTCATTCTTATTAATCCGTGGTCGCCACAGCGGAATGAACCGACAACTTATACAGCAAGTTTTTACGCCTTCCAGCCGCAACCCATCTCTGGGAAACATCCACACACACATACACTCATACACTATGGACAATTTAGCTCACCCAATTCACCTTTTTTATATAGTCTACAGACCAAACCATCGTTATACAATAACTTGCCTAATTACCCTAACCTGCCTAGTTAATCGAATTAACCTAATTAAGCCTTTAAATGTCACTTTAAGCTGTATAGAAGTGTCTTAAAAAAATATCTAGTCAAATATTATTTACTGTCATTATCAATGCAAAGATAAAATAAATCAGTGATTTAAAATGAGTTAATAAAACTATTATGTTTAGAAATGTGTTGAAACAATCTTCTCTTTGTTAAACAGAAATCGGGGGGAAAATAAATGGGGCTAATAATTCAGGGGGCTAATAATTCTGACTTCAACTGTATATATACTGTATATATATTCCCTCTATCAAAGCCAAACACATCTGACTTTTTATCGTGTAATTCTTCATTTAGTCACTTAAACAAAAATACTTTATGTAAGTATTCACAAAATTTTAATGCATTGATTAGCATTTTAACGTTTATGCTAAAATTTAGCATTATTAGCCTATACGTAAATGTTAAATGTCAAATTCAGTCACATCTGAATTGTCATGGATATTGTTGTCTATTCATCTGAACTTAAACAAAAATCCTTTATGATTTCACAAATGTTCATATCCAACAGTTAGCATTATAACATGTTTGAACTGTTTCGCCCAGTTTAGCTTAAAAGGACAGTTCAACCTAAAGTTAAAAATGACTTACTATTTACAAACCCCCAACTGGTTCTATACCCTTTTGAGTTTCTCTCTTCTGTTGAACACAAAAGATATTCTGGGAAAAAAAAACAACTGTTGTCATTAACTTCCATAATAGGAAAAACAAACAATAAGTCAATGGTTACAGGTTTTTAGCTTTCTTCAAATAATTTTCTTCTGTGTTCAATAAAAGAAACAAACAAACAAAGACCAGCTGGTTTGGATAAAGTAAAGCATGACTAAATAACTTATAGGTAATATAAGAACAACAGCATATGTATTTTTCAGTAAACTATCCCTTTAACTTAACTAAAATTCTGTATATGTCAGATCCAGCTGCAAGTGGCTGTCTATTTATAATCACATTTAGTCATTTAGCAAATGCTTTAGTCCAAACTGACTTACAAATTACATTTATCATAGATATCATGGTCTTAAATTAAACCAAAATCACAGTATTGTAACTTCACATCCTTTTTTATGCAATAATTAGCATTATTACATTCATAGGGTAGTTTAGCGTAATTGCCTCTGACACTGAGAAATTAAAAGGGTCTCCCTGTTTATCATAGACAATTAGACATCATCATTTAGCCACTTAAAAATGATCATACTTTCATCCTACATATCATAGTCTAACCACAATGAGGAAAGAAACCCTGCATTCATCATTTCACAGTATTTTTGTGCCAAAATTAGCATTAAAAATAAAATTAGCATGGCAGTTGCTAAACTGTAAAAAATGCAGGGTTCCACACAATTCATTCATGTCGTCCCAACAAAAATTGAAGTTAATGTAACAAATTGAAGTGCATTGAACTTAAAACAATTAAGTTGTCACAAAAAAATCTCAAGAATTGTGTTGTTTCAGGTCATTTTAAAAAAGTAGTTTAAACAAGCAACCAAAATTAATCTTTTTGAGTGTGTTTTTTTATTTCACTAATAAATTCTGCATTTATTATTTAACATTTTGTTATGCGATAATTAGCATCTTAGCATCACTGTTTATACCAAGTTTTTAAGAAGGTGCATGTATAGATTGTCATAACTGAATATGCTATACATTCTAAAATGTTCATCACAGTCTAACCATAAAGAAAGATCTCGTATGATTTCAATAACAATCTGACAATTAACAATTTAACGTAAACATTTATGCCAAAAAAAGTATGTTTAATAGAATGAAGCAGATTAGCATAGTTGAGCATGTCAAAGTGGTTCATCATCCTCCAACCACTTTTTAAAAATCCCCTTATTTACAATTGCCCAACATTTTAATCCCGCAATTAACATCACAACACCAAGACAGCCTGCGTTGTTATATTTGAACATGCTATAAATCCCCCTGTAAATCCTGCGTGTCATGTCAGGGTGTGTTTATTTGCCTCTTGTCGTGTGTGTGTGACACGCCTCATTGTTCTCTGGGATTGAATTAGCTTTTCCTCGCAGCCGAGGGAGAGCCACAGGCTGGTGATGTCACCACCGCACTCTGATTGGCCGCCCTTGCCTGACTGCAGCTCCTCTGCTTTCTGCTCTCTCCAGGATCACATGACGCGGCCAACCAATGGCGCGGCGAGGAGCGGCCGGAGGAGGGAGGCGGTGGAGCTGCAGGCTGAGATGCTCCACTTGGACCTGATTGATGCAGAGGGAGGAATCCAGGAAGAAGAGCGGGACGACAGGCGGCCTTTTGATGCCATCGATGACAACCATAAGGAGGAGCGGGGCGCAGGGCCGCCTGTCATTCTGCCTCAGCTGAAAACACTCACTCCTGCTAACGATATGGATACTTACCGGCCTAAAAGACCGACCACCCTCAATCTTTTCCCCCAAGTGCCAAGGACCCAGGTGAGGCGGATGCTTTGGCTTGATGTTTTAAGGCGGATGGATGATATTAGTCATTCTTTTTAAAAGAAATCTGGTTATTAGTATAATTCAGAATGATGAGATATTGAGTGTGTGTTTGGTGGGTATGCAAATTTTTTGATACTCTCGACTGGTGATGCTGATGACGTTTGGGTTTGTGGCCCACCTGCTATGAATCACTGTTGTCCGCCCTCGGTGTGTAATGTAATCTGGCAGGAAAAAGCCCGAGTGGATCATTAATGTTGACCTGTGAGGGTCAAACAGCAGGGAGCGGCACTTTGATGGGCCAGTTTGAGCAAATTATAACGAGGTGGGAGTAAAAACAAACGTTTTTGCAAGGAATGTTGGTGGTGTTTTTTTAAATGTGTGTGGAATAGAGTGACGTTTTTGGGCTAACTTGTTGATTTTTGGTTTTGTTAATGCCAGAGGTGGATGGTGGACGGTGTTATACTCGTAGATCAGTGGGTATTTCTTGGCTGCTTAAAATAGGTTAACATTTGCATTACATTAACATTATTGATCTAAAAAAATACACTGAGCCTTTGTGGCCAAGTGTCAGAAATGTGACTGTCTATATGAAAAACATCCATATTTCAGCAAAAATATCATGAATTTTATAAAAAAAATATGATGATATTAGAGTATTTTTTTAGGAATACTGAGAATTTTAACCAAAATATGAAAAAAAAATTTTTTTTTAATGTTAAATTGAATTTATGAGATAAATTGTTGTATTAAAAATATATATTTCTGTGCTCAGTATATATGAGGACACCCCTCACAAATTTACAGGCTGCTTTAGGGCTGGGCGATATGGCAAAAATGTAATCTTGATAGCTATTTTCAATATTGAGTGATAACAATATATATTTCAATATGAGTTAAGGCTTCCAGATGTAAAACAGTATCCCAACAATGCCTGAAGCCACACAAATTAGAGGGTCAATCAAATGCCATAACATAGTTTTGGCCGGTATATTTTTGGTGGCCGAAAATTCGGTTTGTCTCTAATATCCATAAATTTTTAGATTCCCCCTTTTACATTTCTGTTGTGCAGTGCTTATCATTGTTATTGACATAAATTTTATTGCGATTCAATATAATATCATTTATCCACCCAGCCCTAGGTTGCTTAATAATATTATATTTGTGCACATACCTTAGGTTAGTCAATACTGAAGCCAAATCTGGAGCTAATATAACAAAATAACTTACAATAATAATTAAAAAATGAGCCAAATTCATATGAAATAGAAAAATATGAAATAAAAATGTAAAAAGAGCAAAAATCAGGAGAAACAAAAAAATATAAAATTTTGTCTAAATTGTAATTTTTTTCTTGCAATACAATTGAGGTCAGAAATATTAGCCCCCCTTTGAATCGTTTTCACAGTATGTCAAATAATATTTTTTCTTTTGGAGAAAGTCTTATTTGTTTTATTTTGGCTAAAATAATAGCAGTTTTTAAGTAAAAAAAATTTTAAAATTAAGGTCAAAATTGTTAGACCCTTTTTTTTGTAATAATCATTTTTTCGGGGTTTTCACCTTTATTTTTGATAGGACAGTATAGATAATTGACAGGAAAGCATGGGGAGCAGAGAGTGGGGAAGGATCGGCATTTTTTTCAATAGTCTACAGAACAAACCATCGTTATACAATAACGTGCCTGATTACCCTAACCTGCCTAGTTAACTTAATTAAAATAGTTAACCCTTTAAATGTCACTTTAAGCTGTATAGATGTGTCTTGAAAAATATCTAGTCAAATATTATTTACTGTCATCATAGCAAAGATAAAATACATCAGTGATTAGAAATCAGTTATCAAAACTATTATGTTTAGAAATTTGTTGGAAAAAATCTTCTTTCCGTTAAACAGAAATTGGGGAAAAAAGTAAACTGGGGGCTAATAATTCAGGGAGTTTAATAATTCTGATTGTAACTGTACTTGTAGATCATCGGGTATTTCTTGGCTGCTTAAAATAGGTTTACATTTGCAAACAATATATATATTTCAATATGAGTTAATGCTTTCAGATTTAAAACAATATCCCAACAGTATCCTAACAAAATTAGAGGGGTGATTAAATAGCATAACATATTTTCGGCCGGTAAATTTTCGGTGGCTGAAAATTCGGTACACCTCTAATATCAATTCATATCCCATTATTGCACATTTCTGCTGTGTGACTGGCTCTTAAATCAATATAGAGTAAAAAAGTGCAGAGCTTATCATTGTTAATGACATAAATTTTATCGCGATTCAATATAATATTGTTTATTTGCCCCGCCCTAGGATGCTTTATAATATTATATTTGTGCATATACATTAGGCTAGTCAGTACTGAAGCCAAATCTGGAGCTAATATAACAAAATAACTTATATTTGATAACTTATAACAAGAATGGTTCAAAAATCAGGACAACCAAATTTGTATGTTAGGGAAAAATATGAAAAAAGTAAGTTGAGCAAAAATCAAGAAAAACTAAAACTAAATAAAATTTTGTTGAAACTGTAATTTTTTCTTGCAATATTTCACATTAACTTAACTTTATATTTCTGAAGTATAAAATAATTCTAATATATATATATATATATATATATACGTTTAAGGAATCTTTTTGGTTAAAATTGTCCAAATTTTATTACCTAAATTCAATAAGAAATTAATAAAAAATAATCTCAGAATATGATATTTTCAGAATTGTATCAATAATACAGTATATTTCAAATGTTGAAAGCAAATTAAATACAGTGATAACTAATTTTAGCACATGTAGTGCATTGATGTTCAAACTGTTGCAAGAAAATAAGATAATATCAGAATTTGAGTGAATAAGTGATGATATCCAGGTTAGGTTTTAACTTGTTGGTCTATTTTATTATGTTAGAAGAGGCTTTTTTTAATTCAAGAGAATGTTTCTCCGCTGCATATAAGACATTTGCATTACATTTACATTATTGATCAGGGAAAAAGAAAGCTGTTGAGCTTTTTGAGACAAAATGACCAAATAGACATTTAGAAATGTAACACTATATTATTCAAAACACACCCTTGTCCAACCCCTAGATGAAAACCGAGAGTGGCTTTATTATATTCTTTTGGGAAATACATGGTTTTATTTTTGGAATTTAGTTTTTATTAGAATTGTATAATAAAAGTATGATGATATATTTTAGCAGAATCAAGATATCCATAGTTAGCAAGTTAGCAACATTGTGATATAAAGATTTTAGCATAAATATAGTTGAAGTCTGAATTATTAGCTCCCCTGAATTATTAGCCCCCATTTATTTGTCCCCAGTTTTTGTTTAACGGAGAGAAGTTTTTTCAACACATTTCTTAACATAATAGTTTTAAAAATTAGGCAAGTTATTGTATAACGATGGTTTGTTCTGTAAACTATCAAAAATATATGTAGCTTAAAAGGGCTAATAATTTTGTTCTTAAAATGGTGTTAAAAACATAATTTGGGAAATATTTAAATAAGAAAAAAAAATCAAAGGGGGTTTAATAATTCTGACTGCTGCTGTATTTCAGGCAGTAAAATAAAATCATTAATTTTTTATGCTCCTTAGGTACATTTTACCTTAACATTTGGTTGCTTGTAATATGAAATGCACAAATTTACATTAGAAACATTGAAAAACTTCATTTAAACATTCATTTTCTTACTTGGCTTAGTTTCATTATTAATCTGTGGTGGAATGAACCACTAACTTATCCAGCATTTGTTTTACGCAGCAGATGTCCTTCCAGCTAAAACCCATCACTGGGAAACACCCATACACTCTCATTCACACACATACACTATGGACAATTTAGCCTGCCCAATTCACCTACCATTTCTTTGGACTGTGGGGTAACCGGAGCACCCGGAGGAAACCCAAATGAACTACTTTCAAACTGAATGAACTGATGACACAAAGTGACAGAAGTAAATGAAAATGATAATAAATGCTATTGAAATACATTTCAGGTAAATCATCTCCATCCATTGCTTCTCTTTCAGTCCTGAATTGCGTCATGGGTATTGACCCTGAATGACTGAATGATGTAATAACAGCCCAGCACTTGTGTCTCCTCAAAAGACTTAAGCCCAAACTGTGCTGAACTCAAACTGACCTTTTTCACTTTTCTCTATTACTTAGATAAGGTTTTCCTTTGCCTCCTGCTATAATTTTTGACTTTGAGGTTATTAAAGTCAGTCATTCTAGAAGTAATGGATTTATGTGCTTCATATGTCATACTCAGTGCAGTTTGAACTAACAAATAACTATTTGTCTTTTCGTTGAACGCAAGGGGAGATATTTAGCTGAAAGCTCCAGCTGCTCTATTACATTGAAACTGCATAAAAAAGTACTTTACTTCAGATCTACAGTTTTTTAAATGATATATCTTATTCTTTATTTATTATAGGTCAATAATACAGGTTTTCAACATCGTAAATGATTTTTGGGTGAAGTTTGCAGCTAAAGTACTCATTAAACACGATCCGTTTGTTTTGCAGAGTAATTGCGTAATAATGTTTACCATCTTAAGGCATTAGTGCTGGATTGCCTGAGTATTTAAATCACCGGATATATTGTAACCATTGGTTTTATTGTAATTATTACGATTGGCAACAGCACACTTGTCTGGTATTTTATGGTAATTGCGAGGTTGACATGAGTTGCTGATGTTGCTACACTCTCAGATATTGTATAATGGCTCCAAACAGGTTTTTACAGCAATTCCAGAGATGTGTTTACATCAGAATCTTTGCACGTGTATGATATTGAACTTCAGCCAAAATATGGTTTTGATATGTTACATTTTTATTAAAACAAAAGTTAATATTATTTTAGCAAATTATGATAATGAACTTCAGCAAAACTTTGATGAAATCAGAATAGAAAATTATATCATTGTGTTAAAATATGATAAATGTCAAACATTTTGCTGAAATATTACTATAGAATTGTATCAAAAATACTGTATC